TGATTCTTCCTGGTTTGTCTTTGGTCCCCTTGGACCAGAATCTTAATTCTGGCTTTTACTGAACTTGAATGCTTGATTTTACAGTTTGATATTTCATTGTATTTTGTTGATCTAATGTACATAGACAACTAACAGATGAATTCTGGAGGATGGAATATAATATCAAGGCTATGATCAAACCCACAAAGTTAGCATGCATTTTGTTAATTTGGTGGTGTTTATAGCCTTTTTCATCATTAAAGACTATGGTTGCTCTTCACAAAGCTATACAGAAGGGAGAAGTGACACTTACGTATGACTTTCAGGTAACAAAAGCATTTTTTTATGATGACAAATAAGATGTCCCAAAGTGAAAATAAATATAATTAGAAAGCCAGTGACAAAGGCAAATACCCCGTTTCCTGAAGGACCCTTGCTTTTGTTGCAAGTTAGTAAATGCTATTAGGCATATGTCTTAGTCTTCCAAGTTTCATAGTGTCACTTTCCATTTTTCTGAGAGCATTCCTATCATTAGGTAAACTGATTTTGGCAATTGCCCTTCTCATTTTTCCTCTGTCATTGCTTACCTATTTTTTTTTTGTTCTAAGGAAGGTTGTTTAAATTAAAGCTAGGCAGGAAATAAGCTTTTCCATTATTTTGTGAGAACTTTGGAAACTTCAAAGATTGCTTCCCTATCCCAAATTGGAACAAAGTCAATCTCAAAAAGAGGTCATGAGCCCCATGTGGGTGAGTACACAACTTAAACTGTACTCTTCACCTATAAAGAAATAGTATTTCTTGTGAAAAATGGTTCCTGCTATTTCTTATTAATTTTGTCATGTTATAGAACTGTTTTAATTATTCAATTTCTTAAATTATTTATATTGTTCAGTTGGATTTTTCATATATACAAAATCCATAACTCTTTGGTAATTTAACCAAAATTTTTATAAAGATTATTTATATTCCTGAACCATTGATTCCATTAGAGAATCTATATCGGCTCAATATTATTACTTGGTTCATAAAGGAAAGGAAAGAATTTTTGGGGGCAAGAAACTCAATATGATGAATTAAAAAAAAAAACAAACAAAAAACGTCTTTTAAATCATGCTATGATGGCATTTTTTAAGTGGACCTAACTATATATAGAACTGTATGTAGATATAAGTTGCACTTACAGAATAGTAGCAAACATCCTTGGTTAGGATATAACTTAGGTTTTTCAAGTTTTTTTAAATAATCCTGGTTGATTACCTGACATTAATTTGCAAATGAATCTTAGTATGTAATTGGATAAATTGTTACAGCAAAAAGTAAGTTGAGTATTAGCGAAAGCCCAAAGGGAAATTAAACCCTTGAGAAGAGTCTTAAATTGCTTACCACTCTTTTAGTGCTTATAACTTAAGCTTCTTAAACTAATCATATTTTAAAACATTAAATTGAATTATCGTAGAGTAGTTCAGGTTTCTACCTTGATAGTTATGAATAATAAAACTACAAATCCTGGTGTAACAGAAGTGATCAGTGTTCTAGACAATGCATGCAGAAGTAAGAATGTAGAATATGTTCCGACTTAATGGTTTAAAGTGATAGTTAACCTGTCATCATTTTAACACTGTTACCAGCTTCAGTAGCTGCAGGTAGTCGGGGCAGTTGAGGCTAGGTGAGAGATTGCTACAAGCAAATCCAGGATTTTTGAGAACATGTTACCTTGGCTGCCAATTTCCTTTCCAACAATGTCTGCCAGAAAGACTTCCACTGTGTTCCTATGGGAAATTCCTACGGGGATTGCAATTTAAGGAAGTTGAAGGTCCTTCTTATTGTGCCCAATTCATTCCAAAGACAGCTACTTTTGAGCAACAGCAGAAAGAGTGGGACAATTTCTGGGCTGGCAAAACATCAGCCCTAGTGGACCAGGCATGCAGTAGGTATAGGTGTTTTTAGTGAAGGCTTCGATTATATGAGAAAACAGTGAGTATGCTTCATATTATTCAGCCTGAAAAGACCTAGGAATGCTACACAGAGGTGATTTGGGATATGCTGTATTTTCTTGAAAACAACAAGGAGAGCTTTTTCCCCAAAAAACACCTACTGAACATTTGAGTGAAATCAGTAAGAGCAGGTTTTCCTGTAGATGAGATGAAAGAGGAAGTAAAATCTGTAGCAATCCACAGGCAGCAGAGCAATAGGCAGGCTTGGCTCCCTAGCTTGTGCTACTTTGTTACCTAATACAAGGAAATCTCTTTCTTTCTCCTCCATCCCCCCCCCTTCATTCTTCCAATGAAGAAAAACAAGGTGTGTATTGCAGTCCAGAACATGCTGCATGTAAAATATATAGATATATGGTATCGTAGAAGGGAAAAAGAATGAAAAGTAAAATGGAAAAATAAGAGGCAATAAAAGTCTAGAATTTGTTTGGGATTGGTGTTAGAATTGAAAAAATGTTAAAAAAATTATATTTAATGCTTAGATTTTTGAAAGCCATCAGTCCATACAAGAGCTTGCTATCTGTGGAGCACTTGCATAATTTTATCATGTTGACCAGTCACATGATGTTGCCTTGGCTTCTTTCTAGCTATAAGGTGCTTTAAAGCAACTAAAATACATAAAAGACTTCTATAATGTTACTTTTCAACTATGGTAGCAGTCCTGAAAGAAGCAGTCTAAAGTGATGAATAGGAGGAGAGAGGGTATGAAAGAGTTCCTTGGTTAATGACCACAACATGAAAGGTTTTGGGAATGCTTGTCTTTGTCCACCAAACATTCTTATTGATGCTACTTCCATTCTCTCTTCCCCATTTCCTCCTGTTTTTACTTGCTACGCATTATTTTAAATTCTTACACTATTTTATATATGTCTGTATAGTTCCATGCATAAGGAGGCAATGAGATAACTGGGGGTGTCTGGGATCCTTCTGGAATATAAATAGAAGCACTAATAAAAAACACCGCAGTTTCTTCAGGCTGGTAGTCAGTGGATTTGTACAAAAAAAAAAAAGTACTCTTGGGTTTTTTTTTTCCTGGATCCCTAGTCTGTAGCTCTTTTTAGGATGAGTTGGTAGTATAGTAATGATGTGGTAACTGTGATGGTCCAGAAATTGTGTGAGGTGCAAGGATTTCTTAGAGTTCTATCTTTTATTGAACCAACTACAGTATCTAGCTGACATAGTTAGACTTGTTTCCAAATGCAAGACAGTCTGACTTGAAGAAGAGTGTCTTGCTCTTGGAAACTTGTCTATGTTAGCTACATAACTGGTCCAAAATAAGAAATCTCTAGGATGAGTTGCTAATAGTATGGCCAAAGATGACTGTATACAAGATTTCTGATACGATAAAAAGTTAGAATAGGTTTCCTATGTTCAATAGTTACTTGACAATAACAGTCTAGCTTTTTGAGCTTCTGTGCTTAAAGAAAACCTGGGAATTATTATATATTACATACCAGTTTGTTATCCTACTAAGTAACTCAGCTTTCAGACTGTGTGGTTGCAGTGCATTTATGTAGTGGTTGTATAAATAGTGTGAAAATGCTGGTTCATTTTTAGATTTTCAGAGGCATTTGGACACCTCACTTACTGGCATTATTTAAATGTAGTTGTTAATGGCAGTTAGGCTTCTAAATACCTTGGAAGAACTGAGTTTGTTTTTGCAGAAACAGTAATTTTTGGTGTGATTTTGAAGTGCCTAGCACACTTTGGACATCAACCAAACAGGATAAATTGAGGGGCATACCTGTTCTTTCTTTAATCAGTATTTTTCTTTGTAGTTTTTCATTTGCAGGTTTAATATTTTAAGAGGTTGAACTCTTCTCATAATGTATGTTCTTAATTTCTACCAGCATTAATTGGAGTTAAATGTTTGCATTGAGAACCGCTCCCATGAGCTCTAATACTATTCACAAAATGTAATCAGATAGCAAATGGTTGTGAATGTGTAATTTGAGTGCAGACCATTCTAGCCAGTGAATTCGTCTAATATTCCATAACAAATCTTAGTTTATGCAGTTCACCCCCTAACATTATCCTTATAGTGGGGTGCTAATAAAGCATGGTAAGATTATGGAGAAAGCTAAGGAGAAACTTAATTCATATGTAGTGTAGTCAAGATAATGATTTTTGTTGTGTCACTTAAAGAAGAATAGGTTAAAGATAGAGTACTGAAATATTAAAAAAAACTACCTCCATAATCATTGCACAGTGCTAGAGACACTCCAGTTACACTGGAATGAGACTAGTGTGATAGACTGCTGATAAATGGGAATGTTTCTCTGTTTTTTTACCAGTCCTCATAGTTATTTTAAAATTCAAGTTAATTTTGCTTGTAGAAGTTTCCCTATATGGTACCAGGAGGGATTACCTGTTGTGCTACCAATTCTTCCTTTCCCTCACTGCACAACCTCCCAGTCCATGTACTGTTTTCTGTGGTGAATGGAAAGGTCCTCAAATAATGACCCAGCTTTTCTTCTATTAACAAGTGACTTATCAGTATTTCTTGCTCTCCTATTTAAAACAAATCTTTCTTCCCCTCCCAACATAGTTGCATATATTTTGTCTATTTAGCTTTTGATTCTCTGAGGAACTGAGCACTCTGATCCAACAAAATGCTCATGTGTGAGTGTAGTCTCATTGAAGTCCACAGGAATTATTCAAGTGTGTAAGTTAAGCATGTGCTCAAGTGCTCCTTGTAGCTTGCTGCCAGAGCACTTGGGCCAGGAACCTGTTGTTTCAGTGAACAGTGCTAGACGCATTGAAACCTGGATACCTGGCACTGATTATGGCCTCTAAGCTGTACTGCTGCATAAGTACTGCTTCTCTCTTTCCAGCTATCACATAGCCTGTGCTTACACATGTACTCTCACCCTGCCACAGTATACTTGAGTAGGAAATTGGGTGTGGATATTACACAGAAAAGTACATTTGAAGAAAGGGATGCTGAGCGTTAACATCTCTTTAGTAATAAGCGTTATTGTTAAGGAACCACAATGATTAGGGTCTTTCTGTTTGAACTGTTCTATATAGACTTCCAGTGGGTCCAAGGAGACGTATGTGAAGTTCAGCTGATGGTGTATAACCCGATGCCATTTGAACTACGAGTAGAAAACATGGTATGTACGTTTCTAAACTGCTTTTTTTGTGATCACTTCTTTCAACTGTTTGCAAAGTTTAATTTAGCAGTCTTTCTCTTGTATGAAGCAAGCAGATAAAACCTACATTAAACAAACCAGTAAAGCTTTTTAAAGAAATTCTCAATTAGTCTTTTATAGCACGTGGCTCAGACTTTCTCCCCTGTACTGATGATGCGATATTGAAATAAAGTTCGTCTTTCAAGCATAAGGGTGCTTTGTAATTTCTGACCCATGTATCAGTAATACCAGCCCTTAAACTGACTTGTATAAAAGCTGTGTGGGTATTTAAGCACCTTTTGACTATAGTGGTTTGCCACATCATAACCATCTCCTGGACTAAATGAACTCATTTGGTAGAGTATTTCTTAACCTGGGAAAGGATTGTGTGGGAATCATCAGGGCACACCTCATGCTAATGTGTGGTCTATTTTTTCTTGTTCCCATCTCACCTTGGCTATTGCAGATATCTACCATCATTTGTTACTGCCCTAAGAATTTGTCTCTCACAAGTCTTCAACAAATAATGCTGCCCAAAGTTTTGACCTCCCTTCAGCTTTGAAAGAGGGCTTAAGTATTGTGTGTGTATGGCTTTTAATTCTGTGGCACAAAGGAGGAGGGAAGAAAAGTTCAGTGAAAAGAGGAGGGAGAGAGGGCTAACATTTAAGCATTTAATCTAAAGATTTCAAAGACAACACTTTACAAACCACTATTACTTAACCTACAAACTCTTTGTGACAGTAGCACTCCATTTATGTGTCTGTGCGTTACTGTCTGCAAAGCCAGGCACCTTTTGTCTTTACTGTAATACTGCAGTATGCAGTTGGAGCTCTGCAAGCAAGTTTAATTTTGAAAGGAATTTAGGTTGAATATGCGGACCCTATCTCAAGCCCTTGGGAGCAAGAAACTACCAAGTAGTGGAACACTTGTTCATCTTTTATTCTTTAAATTAAAAAAGAATAAAAAGGTGTAAAGTTGTTAATAGTGAAATAACCCTGCTTTGCGCTGTCTTATACCTTTTTAAATATATTTTTCCTGTTTTTTTTCTGCCTTAACACTGTCAACCCTAGAATTGCATGCGATTGTTGTCCTTACTTTATCTCCATGGATTTGCTTTGCTCATACCCCCTTCTGGCAGAGGGAGAGTTCTTGCCCATACTTGATAGGAGAAGTAATTATTGTGGATGTTCTGAAGCTACTGATTTGTATATATTTCCCCAAATAATTCCAAATGACAGATTTATCAGCTTAGCTTAAATTCACTTGGTTGCCTCATATATACTGCCAATTTATTTTTTTAACCTGAAAAGCTGTTTAAAAAATTAAATGTTTACAAGCTGTAGTTCTGATACAAACTTCAGACTTCTGTATTTCTATCGCTCTTGCATATATCATGTCATGTTAACTTTCTTTTAAACTTATTTTTTTTCTCTTTGATCATTAGTGATAGAAACATATGCCTGGAAGTGAACTCCTAAATGAACAAGTGCTATTGCAAAAAGTTATGTTACAATCCCTTTCATAAACTTGCCAAGCTTCATATTAAAGGTGGTTCATTTTGTGGGGGGGGTATCGCTGTTCCTATTGGAAGGCTGTTGCAGAACTTAACTGCTCTGATGGTTAGAAACATTTTAATTTGCATCTTGAATTTATTCATGGAGAATTTCTACCTGCTTGTTCTTGTGAGTCATCATCATAGAAAAGTAGGGCTGGAAGCGAACTCCAGGGCTCATCTACTCCAACCCACTGCCTGAGGCAGGATCTTCCCTATCCAAACCGTCTCACACAAATCATCATCTAAACTCTACGAAAGACTACTGTTAACCCTGACGCATCGTAGACCTAACAAAAAAGGCAAAACCCCCCACAGTCCATACCAATCTGACCATGGGGTAAAATTCCTTCCTGACCCCAAATATTGCAGTTGGTCTGACCCTGAGTAGAGGGGCAAGACCGTCTAAGAGCCAGAAACCTCTGTCTTTGTTCCCAGCAAGAGCATTGGTGTGCTCCAGTCGAAGTCCCCAGCCTTGACTGCAGCTAACACCCAATGCCTCTGGGAAGACTTAAAAAACACTCTGACCAGTATAGTGGGAAAAGGGGTGGGGGAGAGGGCAACTATTGGAGAAGGTAGAAGTAAGAAGGCAATGCACTTTTATTTTTGAGAGAACATCCCCTCTCTGCCTTTGTTTCAGCCTTTGTTTCGGCTAGTCTGAGCAAACCAAATCAAGTTGTGTATCATTTCTTTCCCGTCATTATTATCTGTATGTCCACTACAGTGGCTAGTCACGTCATGTGGTGGTTGGACTTGAAAGAGCAAAACACTTTCAAGCCACTAGAGGTTACATATTATACATGTTATACACATATAGTACTGGTAACTTGCTTGGTAGTTGCTTTAGCTCAATTTTTGTCTAGCATACACAAAAACAGAAAGGAAAATATTAGTCCAAATTGCTTTACATATACAAGTTTTTGTGTTTAAATATGCTTCATAAAATGACTGCATAGTTATCGGAACTTATTAAACTGAGAAGATGGCATACAATTTAATTCATATAATGAGATGCAAGAGACAAAGACTTTTTGGGTGATATCTTTTATTGGACAAACTGCATCGTTACAATTAGTATGTAATTTGTTCATGACACGCAATGTTAATGGAACTGTTTTAAGAGAGAGTAAATAGACTTGCACAAAGTTATAAACAACGAATGTACATTTATTTACAGAAACGAAGCCTTGGTCTATACAGTGTGCACATACTGCTTGCAGTACTGTTCATGTTATTCTAATTTTACAGTTATTACCACTGTACTGATTTGTTCTTTTCGAAGTCATTCCAGGTTTCAATTTTATTGGCGTTCATGAGGAAAGTGAGCATGTAAACCATATAAAAATAATTGAAGTCACAAACCTAATCCCATAGTCAGTGTTCTAAAAATGTAGAGTGCTTTATTGAGGAAAGCTGCTGTGAAATAATGTAGTCCCACTGGTTCAGACTAGTTTGATTCAGTTGCTTAAATATTTTGTCTGTGGCACTGTATGTGCGTTTTTGTAGTTGTTTGCATATTATGACAAGGATAGAATGCAAATTCCTTGTTTTTACCTGTTTATCAATTGAAAGTTTAGGTTAATATGAACTTCTTTGCAGCTGTGTTTGATTTATTAAAAAGCATGTTGTCTTCTCTGGCCAGCTGCTTAAATTCCATCGGACTTGTCCCAGCCACCTTTTTCTCTGATTTAATATCTGGTTCTCCCAGTCAGAATCATCATGTTCTCATTTTATTCTTGACAGCTTTAGTATTGATCTCTCTTCTGTGTCTTGTTTGACTATACATACTGAGTCAGTACTTCCAGATGCCAACAAGGCTACTCACTCCACCTTGTTTTCCCTAAATGCTGCTCCGTCTTGGACTCCTGTTGCTCAGTTCCTTCTGATTTTTTTTTTTTCACTTCAACTTCTTCAGTAGTACCTTTCTTTTTCCCCAATGATCTTCCTGTCTCTGTTTCTCTGTCCCTTTTTCATCCTTTCTACTGCCTTTATTTCTGTAGTGTTGTTCCACCCTCCTTAAATTTTATCATCTAAGAGACTGGATTCCTTGGGCCCCTGGCTGATATTACATTTGCCATGTTAATAGTAGCATGCCACACATTCCACCAATTTATCATGCCATAAACCAGCCACAGAAGTGTTCCACATGGGCTAGCTCAAGTGTGGGTTTACAGGTGCCAAGTTGGGGGAACCCATGCAGCATTGCCTAGTATGTGGGCCCACTGGCTCCTCCTGCCTTGCACCTGTAAATCCACATACGAGGTGGGCCCATGTTGGACTGCACTGTGTAGGGCTTTCAGTTTGTCAGTGTGCATGGAACCGAAGATCATGACCCTGGGGCTCCGTGCATGCCAGAAAGTTGAAAGTGTGCCACAGGATTTGCGGCATTGGGGACTGGCCCTTGAAGTCTCTGTGCTGGCAGTCATGAGGTTTGGGATCTGACAAATGTTATCCTGCATTAACAATTGCATGTCCTGCCATGAACTTGTGGCATGATAGGACATGCAATTATTGGGGTATGGTATCAGATCTCGTTGCGCTGTTGACGTGCCTTTAGAGTTCTGTCTTAAGCTTTTTCCCTTTTATGTTCTGTGTAATTTGGCCATGCCACCTTTATTCCTATGATCCATAACTTTTATCATTGCATCAGAGGATGTGGACAAATACTTGTGCTTTTAGAAGAAGAGATTAAAAAAATTAAATGGGTCTAGCAGATACACAGCATTTTCAGGTAAGAAAATCTCATTTAAAAATGTATATATTAGTTTTCTTTGTCTTAAGAAAAAGAATGATCTTCACCTTCCAACCCCAAAAAGGCACCCTCAGTTCCTGATTTCCCCATCAGTTCTGTTCCTTGACTAAATGTTTTTGAAAGGGCTGAATATGGGGAAGAAAAAAGCAGGGGAGGAGTGTTGCAGACCAGAAAGAGTTGCATGGCACGAGACAGCTTTGCTGCCTTCTTTAGGCTGGTTAGAGAGCCTTAATGCAGGAGGAGGGTGAGGCAGTTTTACTTGGCCACTGCCCCTTCAGCTTCCCCTATGGGGCCCCGTGGCACCCCAGGGTAAGAACCATTGCTTTGACATAAACTTCATTACCTCTATAAGAAGTGAAACAAGTAGTTTTATAGGGGGAAAATCTCCAACCATCTCTTCCCTTCATTGCACCTCAGTGTTATTAAGTGATAGTGACACTCCTTCATCCTTTTTTAGATGAACATTGACAATTAAATAAAGATGTTAAAGCACCAGAGGGCAATGTTGGACAAATGCTGCTGAATTGTACTAAACGGCACGTAGCAATATCTAACATGCCATTTAGACATTCTGGATCTGTCACTGCATTGTGAAACTGATTGGTGTTGATCTAGAGTGAGAATACGCATCTTGGTTTCAGTTATACGGCTGGAACTTGTATCAGGCATGGTCAAGTT